GAGGGTCACACTGATAGCTTCGTTTGAGATGGCCAGGTACAAGAACAAAGGTTCCTTGTCTACTGTCGTGATAGTACGGGCGGTTGGGATAGAGTGTGCTGAAGGTTGCTTCTTTGCGAAGGAGCTTGAAGAAGGGGAGAGTGTGCTGAGCGGATCTCGTGACGAAACGGGATAGCAAAGTGAGCATGCCGTTCATGACTTGTATGGATTTTTTCGATGTGGGTGTAGCAAGGTCGGAGAAGGCCCGACATTTGTCGGGATTGGCCTCAATTCCATGTTCCGTCAGGTAGAAGCCGAGGAACTTTCCCGCATTGACCCCGAACATGCACTTCTCGGGGTTAAATCTCATTTTGCATCGTCTTGCTTGAGCAAAGACTTCTTTGAGGTGAGCGGCGTGGTCGGTGTCTGCTTGGGATTTGACGATCATGTCGTCCATATACACCTCGAGCATGTCCCCGATTTGGTTCTGGAACACTTTGTTCATCATACGTTAGTATGTTGCTCCTGCGTTTTTAGACCAAAGGGCATCACGTTGTAGTAATAGTTGCCCGAGCTGGTCATGAAAGCAGTGCAATGCTTGTCGCTTACGGCCATTGGGATTTGGTTATAGCCTGAATAAGCATCCATGGACGACAGTATTTTATAACCGACCGAGTTGTCGACCAACATGTCTATGTTGGGTAAAGGAAATGCATCTTTTGGGCATGCCCGATTGAGGTCAGTATAATCAACACACATTCGCCACTTTCCATTATTCTTTTTGACTAGTACAACATTTGACAGCCAGGTTGAATACCGGGCTTCAGAAATAAAATTTTCCTTTAGGAGGTCTTTTACAGCTTTTTCAGCAGCCTCTGTTTTCTCCGGAGACTGCCTACGTCTACGTTGTACTACTGCCCTAGCGGCTGGATCTATGGCGAGGTGGTGACAGGCGACTTCGGGGTCAAGTCCGGGCATCTCTGCAGCGCTCCATGCGAATAAGTCCGCATTCTCGCGCAAGCAGGATTTGATTTGCTTCCTCGCCAAGTCGGGGAGGCTGATACCGATCTTTACTCCTTTGCTCGCGTCCTCGCCAAGAGGGATGAGTTTGAAGTCTTCGTCCGGAATCGGTCAGAGGGGGACTTGCTCGTCGCTGGGAGGCTTATCTTGGTCGAAGCGGGTGTCCAGGGCTATGGAGTCGACCTTTGGGGGAGCCCTCTGCTCTTCTACCCTGACGGGCTCTGTCTTCTGAGGCTCTGGCCGTGTCGTTGCAGCTCTCTTGGTGGGCCTTGTACTGGTGTCAACCGTATTGCGTCCCTTAGATGCCGCGTTGAAACACCTTCGGGAAGCTGCTAGGTCCCCTTGGATGGTGGCGACCCGTGCCCTCTTGGTGTAAAACTTCATCTTCAAGTGGATGGTAGAGGGTACCGCGGTCAGTTCTGCCAATGTCGGCCTTCCCAGAATGCAGTTGTAGAGGGAGGGGCAGTCGATGACGAGGAAGCGCACCTTGAGCTGCCTCGTTGTTGTATCCTCGCCAAACGTAACCATGAGCTCGACGTATCCCTAAGGTTTGGAAGTCGAGCCGTTAAAGCCCTGCAGGTCTGACCCCACATAAGGTGAGAGGTGAGAGTCGTCGAGCTGCAGGGTTCGAAATAGTTGGTTGTACATCACGTCAACGAAACTTCCTTCATCGACGAGGACGTGATGTACATCAAAATTAGACATTCTCGCTCTTATCAGCAGAGGGATGGCCGCGTTGGGGGGCCCTCTTAGGTCGTTGAACCCTCCACCATTGATGACCATGGCAGAGGGAAAGTGCTCCCACCTGCTGTGTGTTGACAACGACTCTTGCAAGTGCTCGGGGATGTAAAAGTCATCGGGTCTGGTGACGGAGAAGGCGGTCTGGATGGGGACCGACTCGTCAGATGGTCGGGCATCCTCCTCTGCTTCTCTTATCTCACGGGCGTCGCGACGAGGAGCATCGTTTTGCCGGTACTGGGCGAGTCTCCCCCCTTTTATGAGGGTCTCGATGGCATCCTTGAGGTGGACGCAGTCTTCTGTCAGATGGCCATGGCTCCTATGGTACTGAAAGTATTTGCTCCTGTCCACCCCGGGCTTGGCAGGAGCTGGTCGGGGGCGCTTGACACCGCCATCTTTGAAATCTGTATTGGCACACTCCGCCAAGATGCGCTCGCGGGAAGCCGTGAGCGGAGTGTACTCTGTGAAACGCCCTGAGGGTCCTCTATGTTCTCGAACTTCCCGTGGTTTGTCGTCTTTTCTTTTCTCCCCGGTTCGTCGAGGAGGAATGGCTTCTTGGCGCGGGTTGCTGCTGGATCCGCGAGTCCTGGGGTCACAGGCTCTGTTGGCCGCTTCCCTTTCCTCGTAGTCCATGTAGGCCCTGACCTTCTCGAGGAGAGCATCGAACGTTCGGGGTGGTTCGATGCCCACTGCTTTCCTGAACTCTGTGCCGGGGAGGAGTTCCCTCTCCAGCAGGTATATTTTCATATGGTCCGCGCAGGGGACCTGGATGGCTTCACGATTGAAGCGGTTGATGAATTCTCTCAAGGTTTCATCCTGCCTCTGGACGATAGCCTCGAGCGCTGCTTCGGTCTTTGGATGTCGCCGTGACGCGGTGAATGAGCTTATGAATTGGTTTTTCAAGTTTCGCCATGAGGTGATTGACCCCGGGGCAAGACCCTTGTACCAATCCATTGCTGCTTTCCTGAGGGTTGTGGGGAACAACCGACATTTAATGGCCCCCCCAACATTATGGTAGTGCAGCATAGCTTCAAACCCGTCTATATGATCGACCGAGTCGGCGACTCCATCATATTCTTTCAGGTGAGGGGGCTTCTCCATTCCCATGGGAATGGATGCTTCCATGGCTTGTGATAGGGGACCGCGGGGGTTGTCCTTATCACTTCGCTATGGGGAGAGGGACGGGGACCTGAGGTATTGTCGGGCACGACGACCATGATCGTGTTGGGCGTTCCTCGAGCGGTGTGCTCGTTGACACGTCCCTCTGTGCCCGTCTCCAGGATGTCTTCGTTCTTGCCGTAAAAGGCCGTGGTTGCGCCCTCCGACTTCAATGATTGGTTCCCTCTCCAAGGCGGGTCGTCTCCCCGGTGGTCGGGGTGACGGACTTCGGGAGGTGTCTCTGTCTTGTCTCCGCGGGGGAGATGGGAGACGTACCTCTGTTCTTCGAGGAGGTGGGGACTGAGGCCTCCTGTGTCTCCTCGGGGGTCTTCTGTCGTCCTCTACCTCAATCTTTCCCCCTGGGAAAAGATGAGGTAGTTGGTCTGGTTGATTGCCGCGAACAGTGCTCTGGTCGTGGCGTCTGCCCCGGCGGGGACAGGGACCTCCTGGAATTGGGCGGCTAGATAGTTGGGGGGGAGCTGGTTTGTCTTCTTCGAGCGGAGGGGGGACTGAGGAAGATGAAGCCGTGGCTCCGTCTCGGTAGCCTGAGGGCCCGGGGATGACGCCCCCGGGAAGTATATTATGGCGGGGGTTGCCGGCGTTGTCGGGGACACCGTTCTTGTCAACGAGGTTGTTGTTAGCATCGACGACGCGGACGTTCTGGTTGTCCTGAGTTTGGTCAGCCATGACGGTGGAAGATGGTTTTAAGCTTTTGGTCTTTGAAAGTTTGTAAGACGGAGAAGCTTAGTTTCCCAAAGAAGGTGCCACTGATCTTACCGGATCAGAATTGGACCGTCACAACTGGCTCGAACTGGATTTGAGTGAGATGGGCGGGGGGGGGGGGGGGGGGGGGTACCTGCAAGACACTCCGATGATAAAATGAGAGACGGAATGAGCAGGCAAATAGTATGTAGGTGCGTAACAAAATGAAATACCTGACCCTCTTGGAACAGAGGGTATTTATAGCCCCCAGTGCTGGACCAAGGTCCCTTTATTGGGCCGACCAGAACTGGCCCAACAAAGGGACTGCCAGGTTCTACGTGTGTAGTGGAGACCCGCACGTGGTCCCCTTCCTAGATGGTGCTCTGCGAAGAATGAGGAGGAACGAAGACGCGGTCTTCTCGGAGCTTTGAGGATTCCGCAGCATCCAGAGGGGGTTGAGTCTGCCCTACGGGGAGGATGCTCGAGCAAGGCTCGAGTTGGAGCACCCTTGGTCGGGGACGCTGATCGCTGCGGTAGCGGCGGACATAACCACTGTGACCTGTATCCAGGTATGCTCGGGGTGGTCTATTCCTCGAGCTATGCTCGAAGAACTGCTTGGATCTGGGTCTTTACTGGTGTTTTGGACTAAGGTAGGCCCAGTCCAGAACAAGTGTCTAACACCTTCCATTCGTTAAACGAGTCAACAACTTAGAATCTCTTATCTAAATTGGGGTTATCCGTAATATTCCTTTCCTTAGGATAAACATTAATGGTGTTAACTCTATAATTTTCAGCCGATTATTATAATAGTTTAATAAAAAATATTTAATTTAATATTTTTATTTATAATAGAAAAAAAAATTTAATACAATTTTTTAGATATTTAATTTTTATTAAAATACATGTTAACACATATATTTTAGTTATATAAAAAATTTAATATTTTCTTTTATATATATATATATATATATATATATATATATATATATATATATATATATATATATATATATATATATATATATATATATATATATATATATATATATATATAACACTTTCATCTAATATACACACGTTCATTATATAAACATGTTCATCATATATTGAGCAAGGAAACATGTAGAAATAAGAACTACTACGTTTTTGGTGCATAAATCGAGTCTGATCACCTTGGAGAAGTACAATCCTCTGTGCATCTAATATAGCATATTTTTAACAATTTCTAACTATACTATATCTACTCCGTAACAATCCTTGGAGTATATACTATTATTAATATCAAAAAACAACTGCTATTAATTTATCAAAGAAATAAAGTGCCGTAGTACTAGTAATAATAATTAACTCCATGTGCCAAGAAATAATGACGTCATATTCCGACATTGTAACAACCAAACACATTACCGGCGAAACGGCGAACCCCGTGCCGACCACAAACTCCGAACATCTTCATAATCCAGTTTCAACCGCAAAGGCAGCGCCAAACTCGAATTCCTCCGCTCCACATTTACTTTCTTCCTCTGCTTCTTTTTCTCAGCCGCCACCGGCATCTTCGAGATTTCAACTACGTTCACCATAGCAAAATTCAACAGATTAACACCTCCGACGCGGCGAAGAGCCCTCGTCACACCAAAACTTCCAAACCAAGGACTCGCTTTCTCGCCGCCGTAACACAAACCTCCTTCTCCATCTCCGCCGCTGTCACCAGCGCAATCGTCAACCCTACTCCCGATAATACTATCAATCCCTTCCTCGGCCTCATCATCCAACATCGATTTACAATCGAAATCATCTCCAGAATCGCGTTCCAGTACTTCACCGGGACTCACCACTATCTCTTCCGAAACCTCCTTCTCTCGAACGCTCAAAAACTCCGTTTGAGAAGCGCTTTTTTTCTGAGTCAAAAAAGCGTTTGCATCATCAAAATCACTGAACGGCAATAACAACGGTTCAAAGAAATCGTTGTTATAGCATTCGGTTATAAGCGGTTTTGCAAATTTACACGGTGGTGGATGTAGTTTCTTTAGGTTACGGAATAGGTTCGGATACGCTTCGGAGAGTAACTCAGCGGCTTCGTTGTATTTTTGGTTCGGTCTCTTTCGATTGGTTCGGGTTCTTTTGGTTCGGATTGCGCTTTGGGATATGTTATTGCTAGGTTCGGAGATAGTTAGAGTTGAGGAAGGAGAATTAGAAGAAGTAGTTAATGTTGATGAAGAAGATTTGACTACATTGAAATTCAATGCATTGGTTCCTCCGCTTAAACTTAAACTCATTTGAAAAATGGAATGAAATAATCACTTAAATAAAAAAGTGATTATTTGAAGTTTGGTTAATTGATTTTGCAAAAAGGAAACTATGGTTTATTTAGAGGAGAGGTGGATGGGAACAAAGGAAGAGACAATGCTTGGTTTGTGATGTAGCAGCAACGGACGACTAGTGTTAAAGTATTTGACATGTTTTTGTTTTACTGTGATGTCCTTGTTCTTCAAGTTTCTCTTTTTGATTCCTCGGAATTTGTTTCCTTGTAAATATGATAGTTTAATGGGGGAAGAAAAATACAACACTTCACTTTGTTCCAATGAGCACTAAGACAAGATACAATTCCAAAAAAATTAAATAAAAATTTACTTAGTATTCGTATCATTTCATATCGATCTAAATGATATATTTGACATTCCTACTCTTCCTAAAAAATATGATTTTTTTTTGTTAGTAATGTTTATTCATCTTCGATGGGTATGGATCCAGATATTTATTTTACTTATGTCACAAGAGATTTTTAACAAACTTTAGATGTCACAAGTGGAACTCATTGATCATCTCTACTAAGTGCATTTAGTTTACAAACACTAAAAAGACTTTGGATCATGTGTTGCATGATTGCCTATACGCAACACATGTATAGGTTCGACTAGTTCTTTCGAAGAAAATACGTGTATAGAGTGCATTGAAATTCCATCTTTGTAAAAGGCGCTTTATAGCGTGGATGTTGTATATAAAATAGAGATTTTTTATAAATATATTTAGTAATGATGATTTTTACCATTGAAAATCTAAAAATATATTTCGCAAGTGTACTTACGAATTTACCTCTTAAAAGGTTTTGCAAATATACTTGCGATGTCACCTCTCAGTAAGTTTCGCAAGTGTATTTCTGAAGAAACCGTTTTTTTTTTACATATTTAGAAAAAGTTTCGCAAGTGTACTTGTGAAGAAATCGTTTTTCTTTACATATTTAGAAAAAGTTTCGCAAGTGTACTTGCGAAGTCACCTGTGAAGTGAATTTGCAAGTGCACTTGCGAAACTTCCTTGAATGTGTAAAAATTTATTTAAAACTACATAATTTTCACTATTTTTATTTTCACAAATTCCAATATTTCACAATCTATTTTCACAAACATACAAATATTTTACGATCTGATGGAAAAAATATGTTCATAAAAAACGATATGCATAAATTGTTCGGAAAGTAAGTACGATCAAAATATTACAACAATAAGAACAAAACATAACACAGGCTACTGCGTATGCCTAATCCTAACCTCATGCGCCCTCATATGCCGGTGGTACTTCGATGCACCCGATACCTCACTGACCATCCTCTCAACTATGGTAACTGCCTCAGAACCGTCCATCTCGATAACCCCTGTATCCAACGCCTTCTGCCCAAGTGCGTAGATCCGTTGACAGATCGACAATAGATCAATGGCATGGTGTTGGCTGAAGATTTTGATAATGATATTAGAAGCCAAATGAATTAAGCGTTTTGATCGAAATAAGGTAAAGCATCATGTTTCGAAGTAGCAGAAGTAGTGTTTCGAATAAGTGTGTCAAAGCTTGGAGCTTCGAATGGCAATTATGGGAACATATCTAAAGAAGTCTCGAAATAACAACAAGGTTGTGTCTGGGAAGAGCGTTCGAAACGGAGAAGCACCAAAGCATTTGAAATTCAAATGGAAGCGGGACTTTCGAAGTTTGAAAATTATGTGTTGGAGCATTTGGGAACACGTGGAAAGATGAAAGAAGCATTGTCCTGCATGTTCGAAACGTGGCATAATCCTATGGCAAGACCGTTATGGTCGAATTAGTATAAATAGAAGTCTTAGTATTAGGATTTCGTGTGTCATATCTATTATACAAAATACTCAATAACATTCAAACTACCACATGGCAAGGGAAACGAATGCAAGAGAAATGTATGTATGATAGCACCATGTATTTCTGATTTAATGAAAACCTTTTACCATTTCCAGTACTTTCCTTTATTCCTTTTGTCAAACAACATTTACAAGTTTTTTTATTTACAGTCTTTTCACTTCGAAATCTCTTCTTCAAAGTTTTACATTTTAATGTTTTCTTTATATTTCGAGCACTTTATATTTCAGAAAACTGTCATATTTTCCATACCTTTACCTTCAAGTCTTATCCTTCGAACGCATATGTTTACTTAAAATCATTTACAGATTTCTTGCATTAAACGCTTTCTTCACATTTCAAACTTTTACGTTCCAGAAATCCTTTATATTAACTGTTTTGTAAGTCGAAACCATTTACTTCACTTTTATGCAGTTTTACATGTCTTTACAATTAGCATTACAATTAGCATTTATTCGTGTAACTTAGTTTTCACACACATTTTGATTACATCTTTAGACTCTTAGAGAGAGAGAAATCGAAATAAGCCAAACACCTATACAACATCAACCATGAATATCTGTTCGATTGTGAGAGTAACCTTAATATCCAAGGAGTCCTAGGATCAATCTAGTCGATCCTGTGAGTTACCAGAGGAATTGAATAACAGTCAGAAAGATTATTCGATAGTTTGGAAGACTAGCGGTTGTTTACCAGAAATCACTGGAAACAAATTGGCACACCTGGTGGGACCAATAATTGGATATCAGAATTAAGGATTGTTGAGACATAACCATTACGAAAAACGTTGGAACCTAAGAAGTTTGCTGTTTTATGAACCTGAGAAGTGGTAAGATAACCAACAGCAATCAACCTTTATCCAGAAGAAAACGTTTGGACAAAATGTCTAATTCAGACAATCAACAAGGGGACCAAAGTGGCCCACATGCAACAGGCACTAACGCGTCCACTTCGATCGGAACATCTAATGTAATCCCTTCGAATGCACAGTCTGTTGCATCTTCGACCAGTAACATAGCCACCAATGGAGTAAGTGGCATATCAACTAATAGTTCGATCTTAGGAAATACTGGAACTATTGGCTACCCTGGGGGATTCGTTCCACCATCAGGGACACAATCCCATTTCTCCACTCCATTAACTAGACCACCCGATTTCGATGGGAATAGAACCAGAAATTCCTCTTATGGAATGCCAACATCTTTTATGGCAGGTTTACACAATTCCACATCGAATTCATCTCCACAACTAGGGTCTGGGTCTGGGGCGAATCAGTTTATGACAAATAACCAAGGGTCAGTGGGTTATAGCACAATGCCCATCCTAACCACAGACAACCAGTTGGCTTTTAGGCAATTGATGGATGACAGTAACCATAATATGATAGGGGTGTTAGCACAAACCATGCAGGAGATATTTGCCCCAATAGTGCAAAATGTGACTGTGACAAACAGGGAAAACACTGACAATATGAGTCGAATAGCAGATTTCTTTGCTCCCCCAGAAAGGCGTAGGCAGAATCAGGCGGGATTTCGAACAAACACGCCTGTTATAGAACAAATTGCTAACGACCCAATTTATAGACCACCCAGAGAAGAAGTTAATTTAGGGGCCAGGGCACCAAGGTTAGAAGCCCCAATAATCCCAGGCCCACAAAGGGAAATTATGGAACCAGGGGCAAGGGTCGAAAGGCTAGAAGCCCCAGAGTTCCGAGAAGAACAACCTAGGGGAGTTGTTTTGGTTGGTCGAAATCAAGATGCCGATGCCGTCGTTCATAGAATTCGAAACGATAACATTTTGGCAGAAAACAACCTAACCACCATGATAGAGAGGGTCATGGCCCAGAATAGCCTCAACACAGGAATGAGGAGGCCAAATTATGCTTCTCCTATATTGGATTGCATAATGCATACTGATTTACCAAGGGGATATAAAGTCCCTAAATTTACAAAGTTCGCTGGGGATACCAATGAGTCAACAGTCGAACACATAGCGAGATATCTAACCGAAGCGGGAGATATAGCCAATAATGAATATCTCAGGATCAAATACTTCCCAAGTTCCTTGACGAAAAACGCCTTCACATGGTTTACCACTTTGCCTCCTGGGTCTATTGACACTTGGGCTCTCTTAGAGAGATTATTCCATGAACAATTTTACATGGGACAATCGAAAATAAGTTTGAAGGAACTGGCCAGTGTTAAGAGAAAGTTCACCGAACCCATAGATGATTATTTAAATAGGTTTAGGCTTTTGAAATCCAGATGTTACACAGTGGTGCCTGAACATGAGTTAGTCGAAATGGCCGCTGGTGGCTTGGATTATTCTATTCGAAAGAAACTAGACACTCAGTATTTGAGGGATATGGCTCAGTTAGCCGATAGGGTTCGACAGGTCGAAAGACTAAAGGCTGAAAAAGCCAGAGTCTTTAAGAATAGCAAGAAAGAAAGGATTTCCTATGTAGGGACTGAGGAAGTAGAAGAATATCCTGAATTCGAATTCGAAGAGGTCGAAATTGACCTCGCTGAATTAAAACAGGCCCCGCCTTATTCCTGTAAAATGTTAGTTCCCACAAAAGGGAAAGATATTTTTGAAAATGAAAAAAGTGACAAATTTCCAAAGAAGGTTTATACCTTCGACGTCACTAAATGTGACGAGATTTTTGACTTACTTGTCAAAGATGGACAACTAATTATGCCATCAAATGTCAGAATACCTCCTTTGGATCAGAGAAAGAAGAGGGGATTTTGCAAATATTATAGTTTCCTAGGCCACAAAACCTCACAATGTTTTCTTTTCAGGGACCTGATTCAAAACGCGATCAAAGATGGCAGACTAAAATTTGCTGATAAGGTGAAGATGAAAGTGGACGAAGATCCCTTGGACGTCGCAGACACCAACTACTCCGAGCCTGCATGCATTGGAGAGGTCAACATGGTGGAAACTGATCAAAGCGACGCCCTAACAGGAGAGAAGGGTACTGGAGTTGAAAACTGGGTGATGGTCGAAGTCAGCGAGGAGGTCACTGAAGACATCCAGAATACGCCAGAGACTTCGATTGCTGCACCCGTAGCTGTTGCAAGAGAAACCCAGGCTACTGAAGGCCAGGGAAATCAAA